GCCCGTGTAACGAGCTGGAGATCACAAACACTGCTGTCAGGGCTCCGGGGCTGGGGGGGGGAGGGGGGGCATGCAGGGCCAAGGGAGGGGGCCTATCATCATCGAAGTTGGAGGTTTGCCCGACCTCCAGCACTGTGGAGTGCCACCTGTCCGGGCTGACAGACGAGCATTATGGCTTTCCTTTTAATCAGCTTAATTTGGGGCATCTTAACACAATGACTGGTGCTTTTGGAGGCTGCCGGAAAGCAGAGGTCCCGGAGCCGCTGCACTTTGCATGCACGTAGCATCTTTTCACTGGAAGCTCTGTTGGTTCCCCCCCACTCGTGCCCCCCTCTGCCTTAGCCACTTGGGCTATGACTCCCTCTCTTGGAGATTCTCTGCCCTATATGTCTTTACTTAGAGCTGGGAAGAAGCACAGGGTGTCAGGGGAAGCAGTTCTGAAGCTGGAGGCTTGCCCATTTAAAGCCAGGCTTAGCTTTTAACTAGATGTAACTGGGGGACAAGCAGGCTTTAGTTCTGTTCTCTAGCGGCAAGATGAGGGCATGTGGCTGTCTGAGCTCCAAAAGCCCTTCAGACCCCCAAATTCCCCGATTCTGTAGTCGCCTGTGTGTGTTGTCCCACAGTTCTGCCCTTTGGAAATGACCTTAGTTCTGCTCCTCTCCGGCCGGCTCTGCCTCCTTTTTCTTCCCAGGCCCCGCTGGATTTGTGGCAGGGTACCCCATCCCTTCAGGTCACCACTTCCCCCACCCCAGGCCCATGCACTGTCCTGCCCTTCTGCTCGGGAGAGCAGGGGCTCCTTGGGCAGGAATGTGTGAAGTAGGCATGTCTGGCCGCAGGTAGTGGTGCCACCACACATTTTCCTCTTCATCAGCTCACAGGAAGTCCTCATGCTCTTTGCAGGCCCAAGAAGGGCTCCTAACAATATGCTAAAGGCAGGCATTAAAAATACAGAGAGTGAGTTCTGTGTCTGGGCAGGAGGGTGCCGATTTCTCTGTTCCCACCATCACAGACTGTTCGACACTGTTCCTATGAGAGGCTCTTGCCCTGAAGTTTTTCATCTAGATAAGGATGGTAGTATCCGCAGTTAACAGTCAAGCTGGTAACAGCCAAGTTGTGAAGAAGGGGAACCTGGAGCAGGGTTAGGCAGAGGCCCCAGAAAGCTTTCCAGGAGCGGGGACATGAGTGGCCCCAGAGAGCTTTAACTTCCTGCTCTGTCCCGGGTGCATCTAGAAGAGACCAGGGAATGGGGTTCAGGGTCCCTCATTTCTGGGATAACTGCTGTAGTCATTACTTAACTCTTCAAGTAAGAGGTATCAAAGGTCAAGAGCTGGCCATCATCAGTAACAGTATAGATTAAAATTAAAACAGGGTTGAAGAAGTGTTTTATACGAAAACTTCCTTCAGTTTATTCGGGAAAGCCTATACACGTGTTTTTGGCTGGAACTTCTATAAATGTGACACTTCATATCTTGAAGGCCCTTGGCTCTGTTGTCCAGTAGAAGTGACTGCCAAATGTCCCAGCCTTCCCTGTAGGATTTTTCCAGAACTTTCTTTCCAGTTTCAGGCCGCTGGAGGGGAAGACTAAATACCAGAAACAGTAGAAACATTGGTGACCCACAAGGGAAGACTCTGTACGGCCTGAAATCAGGTTCTTTAGCTTTCCTGAGCTCTGTCTCATTTGGAGGACGATCTTTCTCAGGGATGCTTGATGTGGCCAATGCAGTGATGATCATGGAATCCTGAGATGGTCGTATCTTGGGGGTGGAAGGTGTGCTGACCCTGATTACCTCCCCATGGCACCCAAATACAGCTTCTGAGGAAGGAATGCTGGACAGGATTCGCCAGGGGGCATGAGGTTTCCTGGGGAGGGGAAGAGGGGGTGGTGGTGTGGGCAAGGTTTTGTACACAAACTTGACATCAGGAAATCTTCAGCAAATGGCTGTGCCATGGGAAGCCCTCTTTTTAAAGAGGCCTCATTCCTGACACCTGACAGGCATTTCTTTTTTAATTTAATGGCTCAGAGCTATTGTCTGCCCCTTCCCCCTTCTCAATCAGCTGAGAATCCTGCCGCCCTCCTTAGACAACAAAAGCTCTTCACTTGATCTTAGCCGAAAGGCTGAGAAGTGAGGATAACAAAAGCTGTTTTACACTATACCTGCAACTAATATGACACGGTATGTTAATTATACTTCAGATTTAAAAAAAAAAAAAAAGCTCTTTATGCCATATGCTTTGGATAGGATTTGTCTTCCATGGAGGCAAACATATGGTTACCATCCTTATGGTGTGGAGGGGTTCTGACTCATTCTCCCTGCCTCCTAGAAAAAAACTTGTGTATTTTTTTTTTATTTAGAGAGAAAGAGCATGAGTGGAGGAGAGGGTCAGGGGGAGAGAGAACCCCAAGCAGGCTCCATGCTCAGTGTGGAGCCCGACGTAGGTCTTGATCCCATGGCCCTGAGATCATGACCTGAGCCGAAATCAAAAGTTGGACATTCAGCCAACTGAGCCACCCAGAAAAGAAACTTTTGTACGTAACCTTCAACAGCTCCTGAAGGACCTCTGTAGTGGAGGGGTGTCCCATAAGAACTGGCTAGATTCAACTTCTTATTCTCTGCAAGGAAAAAGAAAGAGGAAATTAATATTCATTTAAATTCTGCCGCCCCGCATTTCTGAATGAGGAGGGGGCTGAAGGAGCCAGAGATGTGAGACGGGGTGTGTGAAGATGGTGTTATGCCAACACGGCCTTTAAGAACAAGTCGGCTCCTTCAGATAGTGCTCAAATGGAGAACAGAGCAACCTAATTCCAGCTTTGGAAGGAAGACTGGCAGAGTGGGCCCTGCTCTCCATCTCTGACACAGAACCTTCCCAAGGGACAGTCGACCATGGTTTGCTGATGGTCACTTGTTTGCCGTGTTCATCCCCACACTAGCTTTGACTTTATTTATGATCAGTTTTCTTTAGATTGTGTGCCTTTACAGTGTTCAGAAACCCTCACTGAAACATAAGTGCCCTTAGAAACATTATGCCTTTAGGGGCACCTGGGTGGCTCGGTCGGTTAAGCATCTGACTTTGGCTCAGGTCATGATCTCACTGTGTGTTAGAGCCCCCTCATTGGGCTTTGTGCTGACAGCTCAGAGCCAGGAGCCTGCTTCGGATTCTGTATCTCCCTCTCCCTCTGCCCTTCCTCCACTCACACTCTGTCTCTGTCTCTGTCTCTCTCTCTCTCCCTCTCTTTTTCTCTCTCACAAAAATAAATAAACATTAAAAAAAGTTAAGAAACATTATGCCTTTGGCCTTCACCCCCAAGCATGTTGGACAAGTGGTAGGTGACCTGGGAGCACAGCCCCTGGAGGCTGGGTCTTGGAGGAGGAACAAAGGGAAGGTAGAGAGGGTCAGACAGGGTGGGAGATGTGACCATGCCACAGAAGTTTGAGAGAGGTTGATGGGCGCTTGGTTGCCAGTCCCTGAGTCCTCAGCTTGTTTGGGGTGGCACGCAGACCTCTGCGGCCAGGTTCTGTGGGTCTTGTGGCACAATCCACCTCCTGTGGCAGACGCATGGTGCTCCCTTTACCAGTCTGGAGCACATGCTTCTCTGTACCACATCTTAAAGAAATCTAAAGAATTCTTCCAGACTCCAGGCCTGGAATGATCTTCATTCCATAATAAATTGTCATCATTTACTGAATTTAACAACTTATATATGTGATCTCAGTTGACCTTTACCCTGTGAGCATTTTTGATCCTTACTTTACAAGCGGACAAAACGTAGCCGCTGCCTACAAGTGTGGTGTGTGGTCGCAAATATTACCGTCCCTCTTTTCATTTTTATTACATTCTGGGTGATAGCTGTTGTCCTAACCTTCATTTTCGTAAAAAGCTGTAGTTCGAAATGTGGGATGGACAAGATACGAATGGAAAATTTGGGGGGTATGGAAACCGTGTCCCTGAGTAGTTAGTTCCAACTCTATTTTAGATCTTCGGAAAATAAAGATAATGCTTTTGTGCTTGGCAAACAGTAACTTCTGGGCAGTGAAACTTGCTCAGTGAAACAAACAGAAGGGAAGCATAGATTAAGCTGTGGAAAGACCCAAGCAGAATCCAGTTAACGTATTTTCCATATGCATATGCTGCTTGAGTGCAGAAAAGCAGCCTTGCAAAGGAGCGGGGGAAGATGTCTAAGAATGATTTCTTTAGCTCACACCCACCCCACTTGCTGGAGGAACCAGCCCCTCCCTAGTGACAGCCAGGAGTCGCCTTGGCCTTCCAAGGCACCCGGCTAACAGAAGCATCTGCCTGGGGCAAACCCACTCTGAGTTTTCCCTACCAAATATAGACTATAATATCAGACAATGCTGCAAATTCTTACTTGTTTCCAAATTGGACGGTTCAAGTGTCCGGAGTTTTGTAAACATTCTTTCTGTGTTGCATTTTTATGAGAATTGAGGGTGGTAAGTAAGCAGAAAAATGTTTTTTTTAAGAACTTAGACCTGGTTTGTGTGAGTACAGTTCAATCCATTCTCTTTGTATCCATTCTTCCAGTGCTACCCTTGCCTAGTTCTGTAGCTGTCTGTGGTGCTGGCCTTTCCTTTCTCTCCGTCACCTCCCAGTGTCCACAAGCAGAAAGCATCCAGTTGGCACCTTGATTACCAGGTGCTGCGTGTCCATAAGTGGCTCATCACCTTAGCCAGGTTCTCATGTGCATTCGACTCTCCTGGCCTTCTGCTAAAATACGGATTCTGTTATAGGTTGATCAGGAGTGGGCTGTGATTCTGCATTTGCAACAAGCTCCCAGGTGGTACTGACGCGGCCGGCTGGGGACGCCCCATGAGTCAGTGTGGTCCCAGGGCACCACGGGGACACATCTCCTTTACTTCAAGTTTCTTACCACTGGGAAACTAGCATGCAATATGCAAGGCTTACATTGTGTACATTTTCTTCAGAAACGCTCTGCACGTTGTTGATCTTGCTAACAGCTCTGGTCTGACCCGTTCTCCTTTTAGGACTGCCTCAAAGCCTGCCAGGAGCAGATTGAGGTGGTGCTGCTCAACAGCCTGCAGCAGTTCCGTCAGGACCAGGGGGATGGGTCCAAGTCGGAGGATGAACTGGACCAGGCCAGCACCCCTACAGACGTGCGGGATATTGACCTGTGAGGATGCAGTCGGGCCGAATGGGAGAGACGCGTTCACATCTGCTCTCTCCTTCTCTCTGGTTGTGTTTTGTTCTTTATGTTTTAGGATGAAACTTAAAAAAAAAAAAAAAAAAAAAAAAAAAAAAAAAAAAAAAAAAAAAAAAAAAAAATTCTGCCCCCACCTAGATCATATTGAAAGATCTTTTAGAAGTGAGAGAAAAAGGTCCTATATAAATGGAATAACTAAAAGCATTTGGTGCCTATTTGAAGTACAACAGAAGGGAATCCCTTGTATATGCGAACAGTTATTGTTTGATTATGTTAAAAGTAATAGTAAAATGCTTACAGGAGACCCTGCAGAGTAGCTAGAGAAAAATGTACGCCTGCAAATATGGGAACAAATTAGAGGAGGCTTTTTTTTTTTTTTCATGTTATGAACTAGCACGTACACACCCCTTTTAGGATAATTTCAAGGAACTGCGTGTGCCATTTATGGCGTCATTAGATTGCGAAGCAATGAACTCAAGAAGGAATTAGAAATAAGGGACATGATGGAGGGAGGGAGGACACAACAATCTGTTAACGCGGTCGAACCATTTTGGACGTGGAAGCACCTTTGCTCTCGACCACCTGTTTGTCACTAAGTCAGGAGCATAGCTGAATCTCTAGTTGCGAACTCTTGCTGTCTACAGTAGCTGCTACCTAAAAGAGAGGTTTTATTTTGCCAGTCGGACGCAGGTGATGGGGTCCTGGGTTTCACGTGTCTTTTTGACATCATGCTTCTTCTTCCAAACATGGTTCGTGGCAGACACCACCGTGTTTTTATCAAAAGGGGCAATTTCGCTTTGGGCCATAACCAAAACTCCTATGAAATGGAGGCAGATGGAGACCGAGGGTGGGATCTGGAATGGAATCTTTTCTCTTAATGTATTGAAGAGGGTAATGTGACCTTGGCATCCTTTATTAAAAAAAAAACAACTGATTTTTGGTGCTGATTGGCATGTCTGGTCCACAGTTTAGCATTGTTATAAACCATTCCATTCGAAAAGCACTTTGAAAAATTGTTCCCGAGGGATAGATGGGATGGTTTATGCAAATCATGCTGGATAGACTCCTCCCTTGTCCTGTGCCCCTCCCCCTCCAGCCCTCAGTCAGGTGACTATTCACTTCTGGTATCTGACATTCTTTGGTACACAGTTCTGGTATCCCTACCAGGACTCAAGAGACACCCCTTTCCACCAACATCCCTGTCACAACATTCCTCCATAAAGCCTACAAACAAAAAGCTGTTACATTTTGATGGCACAGAAGGATCTGAATTCCCACCTATATACTTCTCCTTTGGACATGGAAAGAAAAGTTATTGCTGGTGCAGACAGACAGCTGAATATGAATATCAGAGTGTGGCATTGTGTTCCCTTTTCCGTTTTTTGTTAATTTCATTGCAAAGTTGTATTCAGCGTACTTGAATTTTTTTTTCCTCTCCACTTCTTGGAGGCATTCAGTTAGCAAAGAGGTTGGAGCAACAACTTTTTTTTTTTTTTTTTGCACAATTATAATTGACAGGTAATGAAGCTATTAAAATATTTGCCTTTTTGAGTAAAAAAGAAAAATCAGAACAGGGCTGCTTTGAAGAATTATTTTATACACAGATTCTGCCTTGTTTCGTAGTATGAGGGTTGAAGATGGAGAAAAATCTAAGGGTCTCTTATTTTTCATTTTATTGTGTTCAGTTTTTTATTATTTTTTTTTTTGCGCTGCTAAGAAGCTAAGATCATTCATCCTTATTCACATTAACAGTACCTAGCTGTAATGTTTCACAGAGTGTGCTGCTATTTTATAAACATTTTTATAATATATTATTTTACTGCTTAAATCCCAAGTCCTGAAGTAGATGGTTGAGATAGGAGTTCTTCGTACTGGAAAAGCCCTTCCATAGTTTATTTTCTTCTGGTAGCGTATTCATGGTTGGTTTTTTTTGTTGTTGTTGGTTTGTTTTTTTTTTTTTTTTTTCTTTTTGGGTTTTTTTTTTTTTTTTCCCTCTCTCTCTCTCTGATCACATTCTTCAAAGACAGAACATTCTTTACCTCAGGTTTACTGGACAAAATCAATAGCTACAAAAGAAAATGATTCACATTTTTGTTTTCATAATACCTCACAGCCGCATAGTTTCTGCTTGGAAGCCATTAGTGTGGGGAAAGAAGTCGGGGAGGAGGCTTCAAGCCCCTCTCAGTGGAGGGTAGGGTGGTTTTGGGTCCTGGGTCTCACACCCAGGGACCTTTTCAGTCATGAAGGTCATCAGGCTTCCATTTTGACTCCGGTATCCTCATCATGATGGAAAAAATACAATTGAACCAAGGGATTTCCCTTCCCCCTTCCCCCCCAAGGCAGACATTCAGCAAAACCTTTATGCAGTGAACTAGGAAGTCATAATTTGCACTTAGGTACCAGGTATCTGGAGACAGATTGAAAAGAATTCCAGCAGGCTATTTGGAGACCCTCATCTTGTGGCCCTTTCATAAAGCAGGGCTTTCATCTGCTTAGGGTCCTTTCATCTTGAAAGCTTCCCCTCTAGCTTTCCCCTTCCCTGACATGGGCATCCCCAGTGTAGGATAATCTCAGAGGCCCTTCTAGATCTGAATCTGTGGGCATGTGAATCTGCAGCATGTGGTATCGTGGGGGTTCCTTCTCCCCTACCTGTCTGACTGCAGCAGGCTGGCACTATGCACAGCCAGCCCCTCTGCTGAGTGGCACTACATGGACTTCAGGTTTTAAATTGCATTGAGTTGGCAAGATTGGGAAAATAGGTCAGATAAGTATTGGGTTGGTAGTGGAAGGGAGGTGGAGAGGCTGTGTCTCTACAGAGATGCCATTCCAGAGGAGTCAGTCTCTCTTGAAGTATGTTTGGAAGGGTTCAGGATTTGGTGAGTTAGCATGACCCTAAAATTCTAGGGAGTTTCTGGTAGGGCGGTGGGTTGTGAATTCTGAAGTTTTGGAGAGGAAAGCTGAGCAGCCAGTGTTTTGTCAAGAGCTCACTTTGCACAGGATACTCTTTGGGGCCGTGAGGAGTAACACGGGATGGAAGGATACGTGGTCCCTAAAGTCCTTGGGAGTATTGGAGCCTAAAGAAAGCGAGGTATGAAGTCACTTAACAGTGACTGTCCCTGGCTCAAACAGAAGCAGCAAATGAGAGAACCTGATGAATAAGGAAGGGAACAGGCCTGCAGACTCTCCCTGCAGTCTGTAACTTCCTGGGTGCCACTGGGGTGATCTTTTTCTCCTTCTTGCCCTCGGGGCCTGGTGTGATGGGAGGTGTGGTGTGGCTGATGGGGAAGGTGCTAGTTTGTTTGGCTATTCTGCCTGCTCCCTCCTTAAATAAAAGAAGGAAGCCTGGATTTGTTAAAGTAGTTGATGCCCTCTCCTTATATCTTGGTTTCCTTGGTAGGAGTTTTTATGTGACGGAGTTCAGCTCTCCCCCACAGATTTTTTTTTCCTCTTTCTCACCTCCCACAAATGGGGTTCCAAACCTATTGGTCTTTTTCTACTTTGTTGTCTTTCTATCTGTTCTTCCTCCTCTCTATTTCAGTTTTCGGTTTTTTGGGTTTTTTTTTGTTTTTTTGGTTTTTTTGGTCATTGCTATTACTGTTTTTCTCCATCAGTGGGGGCTAAGTTGTTCCCCTAGCCTGCCAAATTTTATTCCCTCCCCTAGTTTGGCCAAATCCCGGGGGCGGGGGAGAAATCCTAGTATGCCAAAAATATATGCTAAGCATAATTCAATTGCATGCAGGTTTGTAACAGCCAAGAAGCCCTGCAGGGTGGAAGCTGGGGACAGGTCCCTCAGTAGAATGTCTTCCCGTGTTGAGAGGAGGGCTCCTCAGAGCAAGGAGCTTATCTTAGGGGAGGCTTTATTCTGGAACTGCCCCAGGACCCCACTGAAGAGTTCACCATGTCTTAAAGCCAGATCCCCTTTGGTCTATGTGCTCTGTACAGGAGGTGGGTCAGGTAAAGCAACCCTCACGCTGTCGTCCCTTCGCCAGCAGGATGGGCTCCTCTTCATGGGGAACTGTCGCTTTCCTGCGGTCTGGCACCCTTGGGGCCTTCTACGCTACCCCAGGGGCTCTGGGGATGATGTTAAAGAGCATTAGGCAGGATTGGATGACTTTCTCAAAGAAGGTGGGGGGAATTTTCTCTCCATGGGCCATAGGGGGCAGGGCTGGGAGAAGAAATAGACTTGCACCTTATATCATGTAAATAATGATTTTCTAGTTCAAGAAGATAATATTGGTAGTGTGGGAATGGGAGGGAGGAATGGGGAGGAAGTCTGAGTAAGCCAGTTGGCTTCTAAGCCAAAAGGATTCCTCTTTGTTTATCTTTGAGACAGTCCAACCCTGAGTATAGCTTTAAAAGGGAAATTAGTGCTGAGACGGTAAAGTCCCCTTAAGCCAACAAACTGTAGCTATAGAACGAGTGAGCGCAGGCTTCTAGTGGTGTGGGCTCGGAGCAGTTTTTAAGAGCTACTCGTGCTGTCGTCCGTTTGTACAAAATAGGGCAGGAAGATTCAGGAGGAGGTTTATGACTTTCTCATACCACGTGGCTTTTCACGGTTCTGGATTCTAAACAGCCCAGAACAGTCCTTTCAGCCAGACATTTGTGTGTCTCTGCTTTTAGACTTGGCTGGACTATCAGACCCGATTCTTGGCTCAGGTTTCAAGAAGCCATCAGCAACTGTATCCGTGCACACTGTAGCTGCAGCATGCCTTCCTCTGCCTGCAGCCTACTTTGGGGAAAAAAGTGCCTTACTGACTAGACATTACAGCATCCAATGTATTTTGACAGGTGCCTGTCCTTTAAAAAAAAAAAGTTTTGTTTTGTTTTGTTTTGTTTTTGTTTCTTTTAATTGGGTTTTGTTCTTACCGTTGGCCAACTCTTAAATCCCCAGCAAATCACTGGGCCATTGGATTTTTTCCATTATGTTCATTACCCTTGTACCATGTACCTCAGATCTCTTTCTCTCTCAGTTACAGTTTCTCGTCTTGGACTTCTTTTATTATTATTATAATTTTTTTTTTTTT